TATATATATATATATATATATATATATATATACATTTTCTTCATTAAAAAATATTCTTTTGATTTTCTTGTTGCATCAAATAAAATAATGGAGATAGCCCTAGAGAGCAGATTTAGGAGTCGTTTGGGGCGGCGGTACAATTATGTTTCGCAATTTCAGAACGCGGTATGATGTTTGGTTTCAGTGTTCTCCCAACGTTTTCAAATACGAGTGGTCTGGATCCTTTAAGAAAATTGAAAGATTGCGGTCGCGAGATCAACCCCATGGCCCGCGTTCCTTCAGAGCGTATTACCACTAAACCCCTCGATCCCTCTCCTGATCTCGAGTCCTTGCCCTGGCCCTGTGATCGATCTCAATGATCGAACTCCCTCACCCGCCTCTCTGTCGTTTGCTCTTATCCTCTTCTTTCTCACTCGAAGCTCTGGTTACTTTATAAGCGCTCGTTCTCCCTTACCCGCGCCTCTCTCGCCTGCCCATCTCCTCTCGCTTCTCAATCGGTGCTCCAATTACTATAAGTGAATGTGTTTTCTGGCTCTGTGTAATCTCGTAAATGTTGATGGATTCATTGCTTACCTCATGCGATTTTTAGCTCTCTTCATTGGATTTTTTTGCAAGATCATTTTCTTCATGCAAGATATTTGAAAGTTTTCGCAAGGTTTTTGGCTCTCTGGTTCACAAATCAACAAAAGAAGATTTGTTTTGGCCAATCTGTTTGAATTGTTGCTTTCTTCTGTTATGGCGGTTGGTCTTGTGTCACTTGATATGGTGTTGAGATTGGTGCTAGTATTGTGGGGTTTTATTGTTGTTGACTGGGTGGTTCGTTGGTGAGCCAATGAAAGTTTATTTAGGCTGGTCTGTAAGAATTGTTCTTTTCTTTTGTTATGATTGTTGGATTTGTGACACTTGAATACTTGGAATATATATGTTGTTGAGGTTGGTGCAAGTGTTGTGGGGTTTTAGTGCTGGTGACTGTGTGATTCGTTAGTGAGCCAATGAAGGTTTCTTTAGGTTGGTCTATTGGAGTTGATGCTTTCTTTTGTTATGTTTGTTGGAGTTGAGCTTTTCTTCAATTGTTTTTTTTTTTTTTTTTTTTTTTTTTTTTTTTTTTTTTTTTTTTTTTTTTTTTTTTTTTTTTTTTTGAGGTTTATGATAAGACATACAACCTTATGGGTTCTTCTGGATGGTTGGTTTGTCGTTGTTATTTGTGAAATCCTAATGAATGCAACATAGATCCTCTATTCTTTTCAGTGCATCGATTTATGAGGACCTATTGGATGTCCTTTTTTGATGATATGCACATGTGACACATGACGTTGGTTTCACGTGGGTTAAAGACAACCAAGAACTCATTTTTGTACAAGATTCGTTGTCTTCATATAGTGACAGACTCGTTGGTTGAGTGTAGTTAGTTCTCTAAGACTTTACATCTACATTTTTTTTTACAATTTATGCTTTTTTATTCAATACAATTTTCGATAATTCACATTTCCTTGTACATTTTTTTTTCCTTTAGTTTAATTTTAACTAATGTTTTTTCTCATGCATCTTTCAAACAACGTGAGCTCAAGGATTTCAGAGACCTACCGATGTGTGTTCTGTCACTGTGGACTACAGACTTCCTTACTAGAGTCACGGAGATGTGTGCCTTCTTCCAGTGGACGAGCAGTCCGCCAGATTCCACTGCTGATAGTGATCAGAGTTCAATAAAATCCCTAGAGGATAGTGTATCTCGTGACATAAATCATCTCTATTTTAAAATTAATATTATCATAATTTTAATTATAATTTTAATATTTTTTTCTTTTTTTATTCAATTTAATACTCATTGTTAAGTGATGATTGTTTTTTTTTCTTTATTGTTTCTATATTAGTTTTCTGCTTCTGCAGTATTGAATATATTATCAAGACAGTTTTGTTACAAACAATATTACTTAATAGAGGCAGAATGATCATTTATCCACAAAGAGCTACAAATCAATTGTTTCTAAACATACAAATCAATTGTTTCTAAACAAACAGTCAATTTATCCTAAGCTGCTAATCAGCAACTTATCAGGATAAGCTGTTTCTCAACAGATTATTCAATAAACTACAGTTGCCCCAAACTGGTCAATTTGTTGTTGTATATGTGAAATCCTAATGAATGCAACATATATTTTATATTCTTTTTGGTGCATCGATTTATGAAGACCTATTGGATGTCTTTTTTTGGTGATATGCACATGTTGGTTTCACGTAAGTTAAAAACAACCAAGAACTCATTTTTTTTACAAGATTTGTTGTCTTCATATAATGACACTCGTTGGTTGGGTGTAGTTAGTTCTCTGAGACCTCACACCTACATTTTTTTTTTACAATTGATGCTTTTTTATTCAATATTATTTTTGATAATTCACATTTTCTAGTACATTTTTTTCTTTAGTTTAAATTTTGACTAATGTTTTTCTCATGCATCTTTCAAGCAACACGACCTCCAGGATTTTAGAGACCTCCCAACATGTGTTATGTCACTGTGGACTACAGACTTCCTTACTGAAGTCACATGGAGCACACAATTACGGGAAAAATTTCTATAGTTGCCTACAGAACGTCACAAAGAGGTGTCTTCTGCCATATTCTACTGTTGATAATGATCAGAGTTCAATGATATCCCTAGATGATAGTGTATCTCGTGGCATAAGTCATCTTGATTTTAAAATTAATATTATACTAATTTTAATTATAATTTTAATAATTTTTTTTTCTTTTTTTATTAAACTTAATGCTCACTGTTAAGTGATGATTGTTTCATTTTTTTTTTCTTTACTAATATAGATTAATTTTCTGTTTCTGCGATATTAAATATATTGTCAAGACAATTTTGTTACAAATCGTATTACTTAACAGGGATTGAATAGTTATTTATCCATAAAGAGCTGCAAATCAATTGTTTCCAAACAATTAACCCAAACAGTCAGTCAACTTACCCGGATAAGCTACTAATGAACAACTTATCAGGATAAGCTGATTCTCAGCAGATTATTTAATAAGCTACAGTTGCCCTAAACAGACCTTTATTTTTCGAGTCAAACACTTGCCAATAATTCAAACCATTTAATTTTTAAGATCAAATTCAAATTAACCCACAAACCAAAATTTAACCCAAATTTAACCGAAAAATAATTAAAGCTTACCATTCAAAAACTTTAAATTAAGTCAAAACTTATTTAAATTAAAATAAAACAAAATATTTACATACATACCACTTCATTCCTATATATTTACAAATCTAAGACCTAAATTTTAATTTTTACATATATGTCATATCATGAATGCATGAAAAAATATGTTTCACATTCTAAAAATTAACATAATGTCATATTAGCATGTGAAATAAAAGATTCGAGTGATATAAATATAAAATGTAGAATTTATGCATTAGATATGTAAGTACATATGAATTTGGTAGTATATAAATGCCCCAAATCAAATTTCACCACACCCATGTACTTGAATTACTACTCAAATGAAGATCAGTCCAAGTATTAGATATGTAAGTACATATGAATTTGGTGGTATATAAATGCCCCAAATCAAATTTCACCACCCCCATATACTTGAATTACTACTCAAATGAAGATCAGTCCAAGTTACTCTGTAAAACCTAAATTTAAGTGAAATTGAGATCAATCAAATAATTTTGACCAGATTTTGCTTGCTAAGTTCAGCTGAGACTTCTATATTTTGTGCAATGTAAACATGGAAGATTTACATACCTACCACTCAATTCCTGTGTATTTACATATCTATAACACCCAAACTTCAATTTTTACATGCATACCATCTTACCTATGGCTGAAAAGATGTATTGCACCTTTTTAAATGTAAAAAAAAAGCTGATATTTTTATTTATGTGATGAGAAACATTTGAATGGTATAAATGTAAAAGTAAAATTTAGACATTAGAAAAGTAAATACATAGGAATTGAGTGGTATGTACGCAAATGATCCTTTAAACATTATCAGCCCCATTTCAATGGAAAATTATTACGTGCGGCCTGATCTTATATCGGGATTCCGGATGGGCGGTCGCCGCACGTAATAATTTCTGCATTTCTAGACCATAACATCTACAATGACATATTGGAAATAAATTTGGCAGTTATTATGGCACTACAATTGTTCAATTATTATTTGTAGCAATATATGCCTTACCCGGCTAATTTAACAGGAGGGTCCAAGGAACCTAAGAGTACTCCCAGATCGATGTCTGCGTCCTCAAATTTCTTAATGAAGGGATGACTCTGCAACAAAAAGGGAATATTTAGACAAACATGTAAAAAGAAATAAAATAGGGTATATTTCACTTTTAAAAAGTAAGCACTAGTGGTATTTTGTGAAGAAATTCTAAACAATTTGAATATTATGCTCGAAAATATTGAAGTTTAGGAGATAGATCGGTAAATACATAAAAATCATGTGGTATCTATGTAAATGCCCCCCAAAAAAGGGATACATTTACATACATCATAACACCCAGTTACTATCTATTTATTTACATGTCTAAAACCAAGATTTTACATTCTACATTTTACATTTATGCCACCCAAATTTATCATAATCGCATCGAAAATATTGAAGTTTAGGAGAAAGATAGGTAAATACATAAGAATTGTGTGGTATCTATGTAGATGCCCCCCAAAAAAGGGATGCATTTACATATATCATGCCACCCAATTACTATGTATTTATTTACATGTCTAAAACCTAAATTATATATATATATATATATATAAGAAATTGTACAAACCAACCACCAAAATAATTTAATATAAAATTTTAATAACCTAAAATTTAAATATAACATTTTAACCACTTTTTCATTGCAACCACCCTACTAAACTCACTCATGAAGTTTTGATTGAAGGTTTAGGGTGGCTAAAATGTTATATTTGAAGTTTCAGTCATTAGATTGCTGTATTAAATGTTTTGGGTGTTGGGTATGTAAAAAAGCCATGTAAAATTTTAAGTATGTGTTAGATAAATAAATAAATAAGAATTAAGTGGTATTTATGTAAAACTTCCAAAAAAACAAACTCTTGTAGAACAGATTTAGCGATGGCAACACTAACCAGAAGTTCCAAAGAGGACATTCTCTGCTGAGGATCTTTTTGTATGCTGCGAAGAGTCATAAAAGTGAAGTTAATTGAACATTAATTCGCCACATCCTTAGTTTAAACAAAATGATTTCACAAAAAATTTGTAATAAATGCCAGACAAGCATACACTTGAATAAATTTTAACGTTAGGAGTATACTATTTAAATGAAATTAAGCCGTTTTTTCTAATTTATTTTAAACAACAATATGTGAATAATTTGATAGTTATATAACACTACTTTTATTTTCCTTATTCTACTCTATTTGCCTAGGGACACTTAGAGACCAAATGTGAAATGAATATGTCTGTGATAGGATTGGTGTAGCTCCAGCGGCGGAGAAGATTAGAGAGGGTCGTCTTAGATGGTTTGGTCACATTAAACGTCGACCAGTTGATGATACAATTAGGAGAGTAAATGTTTTAGCTTCGACTAATATTAAGAAAAGCAGAGGTAGACTTAAAAAAACTTTGGCATATTGTATAAAAAATGATCCTAGTCTATTAGAATTAAATAAAAATATGACACTCAATAGGACAAGATGGAGAAAAAGGATTCATATAGCCAGCCCCACTTATGGGATAAAGGCCTGTTATTGTTGTACTCTACTTGCCTATAATTTTTTCACATGCCATTTTTAATTTTTTATTAAAAATTAATAGTTTTAAGTTCAAGCCAATAATTTTTATTATCATGCAGCAGGCTTCTTTAATTAAATTTAAGGTATTTGCTAAAAAGTAATTAAAACAAGTTTATTATTATTATGAGTTCATTTCATATATATATACAACTTGTTATATTAGCAATTCATTTATTTCTTTGATAAAAAATATGATTAGCACTGATGAAGATGACGACACAATAGTAGCAAGTGTCTAGGTTGATCTGTAGTGTTGCTTTGAAGAAAATTGCAGCTAGAAGCCTAGAGCTCCTAAAGTTTTTCAAAGCAAGTTTGTGGATTCTATTAATGCTTGTAGACCCCATTTAAAGCTATAAATAGTCTTCTTGAAGACACGTTCGATTCGGCCCCCAATCAACATACTCAAAATTCTAAGGAAGCCTAGTCAATGAATCAGTGAAAAGGTGTCCAAATAGTCTCATCTCACAGGCCTAGGTGAGCCTTATGGAGATCAACCAGGCGTTGAAGTAATCGATCAATTCATCAAGGTGAAATTGATGGTGAACCATCACCGAAAGCAATTAATTTGACCTCAGGAGTTCAGACAATCATATGCTCGAAATGACATAACTTCAAAAAGGTCAAGTATCAAAGAATCAATGTTGTTTCATGCTAAGGGAATACACTATGAAAAAGTATTTATAGTAGAGGAACTTTTTTGTGATTTATACTAATCTTGAAAAAGTGTATGATTAATCACTACAAGAATTAATTTGGTCGGCCTTATAGAAAAATGTGTAAGAAATACATTAAAATTTATTAAATACAAAATCAAACATTAATTAGTATTAAAAATAGTTTTGAAGAGTCAAATGAAGAGGGGAAGCATTGCCTTGGTCTTTATCTTCATTGGATACTCAAAATGGATGGACTTACATGGCTATCTTGTAGTGTGACTGGAAGCATGAAATTGAATTTTAATAACTTGAAAGAGTTGATTTGACAGCGTTTTGTATTAATAATCTTATTTGCATGAAAATACTTCCATACTATTAACAAGTCTGCATGGAACACATTAGCCATTTCATGCATGAAAATACTTCCATTTATATGCCATATGTAATTTAATAATAACCAAGGTTTTAAAAATCAGCTAGGGTCCACTCCAAAGCATTGTTGCTTTAGCTAGGGTCAACTCCAAAGCATGTGTTTTCTCAAAATCAAGATGCAATATTACTCTCCTTAAATCTTATGTTATCATGAAAGAACTGCGCGTATATACGATTGCTATAATTTATTTTTGGGAAAATTACATAGGTAGCACACATTTATTATTTATTAACATATCTCACACCTACACTTTCATATTCATACACAGCACTCAAATCTTTAATATCACGCATAGAAATAACATTATTATCATTTTTAAAAAGAAAAATATACCATTTCATGCATAAGTTTAAACCGTCAAAGTGTTACGTATGTAAATGTGAAAGTTTAGGTATGAAACAAGTAAATACTAAGAATTGTTTGCTACTTCTGTAAATTTCCCAAGAATAAATTATAGCAAACATATAAATTTACATCATGCCAGAATGGTGGAACTTACCAAGATGATATGAATGAACAGAACTCTGGAGAGAACTGATCTTCCGGCACACCAGGTGGTGGCTCTTCTACAATGGTCTCTAGAAGTTCATAAAAGCTCAACAGCCCATCCTCGTTCTCAGTTCGCTTGTATGGAAAGGAACCCGTAGCACACTCAAGAATAACTAAACCCAAACTCCAGATATCACTTTTATAATCATATGAGCCTCCACTAATTCGTTCAGGCTGAAATGAATAAAAAAAAAATTGTCTTGAGAGTTTGCAACAGTTAAAAATATGACTTAATAAAAAAAACAAGTAAATTCACCAATAGTGTGTTTGGGATCAATTTTGTTTTATGTTTATGTCATTGTTTTAATTTTTCTTAAACGTTTGTTTAGTGTGTTTTTAATTTTTCATTTTTAAAAACAAATTAACATTTTTTTAAGGCATTGAAAAATAATTTTTAGGTGTTTTAAATATTTTAAGATACAATCATATATTAATCAAACATGACAAACCTATTTTGATTCAAATCAAAACATAAATAAAACAAAATAAAATTAGAAAACATAAAATATGCAAAAAAAAGTGATTCCAAACGGCCTCTTAAGGTCGGAGCTCAATCAATCAAGCCAAGAAAGCCAGATAAACATACCGCCATATAGTTGTACGTGCCTACGAATGTATCCCTCTGACCCATGGAACTAGCAAGCACGGCACTCACTCCAAAGTCAGTTATCTTTACTTCACCTTTGTGATTCACTAACAAGTTTGACGGCTTTATATCCCTATGAATTATGTGTCTTTCATTGTGAAGATATACAAGACCTTTTAAAACCTGAATACATTGATTATCTTAATACTGCACAAAAGAACAAAATGGACAGAAAAATAATGTCTTCACCTGATGGCATAGAACTGAAAGGTGAGGCTCAAGAATTGTTTTGACTTGTCTGATTATATCTGCAAGAGAGCCCCGATCCATGTATTCAAGGACCAGAGATATAATTCCATTATGGTAGAATGAATGGTAGCACACAACCACATGAGGGCACACTGAGGCTTGATTTATTTTAATCTCTTGGACAATCTGCTTGCGAACGGTCTCTTGAATATTCATCTGGATACACTGCAAAATTATAATATCTCTAATCATTCAAGGAGGTCCAGCAAACATTTGAAGATGAAGAAAGAACAATATGGATGAATTTGTCAAAAAAAATCCACATCCTATAGAATCCGAACTTGTCTTACGCACCAATTTCTAAGGAGCTCTTTGATAGATGCTTTTTTAATAGGATTTATCACTGGATTTACCAAATCCAGCCAAACGGCAAAATGCAGGTGTTCCACGAAATTACCAAATTTCTGGGATGCGTGGACTTTGATTTGGCCTAAATCTCGATTTACTATATACAAGGGATGGGTGGATTTATGGATTTACTAAATCCTACTTGCAGGCAAACAGCCTCTAAGAGTTGGGTTAAGTTACTGCTTTCACCTTCATAGCAAGAGCTACTAAGCAGCATTTAGACAACAAGAGCATGAAAAATACCCCAAAGGAGATTCATACAAGATTTCTCTGAAATTTCTATTTAAACATTTCATGGTGGACCTACAATTTAAGCAATCATCAATCCAAATAAATGCTGGTTATTCCAGAACTCATATTCATTAAAATACCAGGTCAGAAATATTATATAGGCTATTATGCTTCTTCTGCCCCGTATAATAGTTAGTACACGTTTCCACAGGTCAATGCATTCATTTCAGAAGGCACAAGAGAAAAAATATAAATTTTACCACTTAATTCACATGTAATTACAAATATAAATACCTAAACTTCAACTTTTATATAACTACCACCTTAACTATGCATTAAAAGGTGTATTTCACTTTTTAAAAGTTAAAATAAAGCATTTTTCAGTGATATGAAAGATTTGGGTGGTATGTTATGAAAAAATGATGGCAATAAAGGGGAAAAAAAACGGATCGAAAAATTGTAAACCAGAAAATAACACACATATTTACATGTTTCGACTAATTTGTTTACGTTCACGGGGGCTGCAGAGGATCTTATTACTTCGAGAAATTACACAGTCTAGCATCTCGACGTTTACAAGAAAACTTCATTTCTCTTTCTCTCTTCCTTTCTCACTCTTAGTCTCAAGAGGACTTGGCTTAGCACGTATGACATGCCAAAAGAGGCTATTTAAAGAAAGCGGGAGAGAGGTGAGTGGGAGAGATGTAGGTAAAGTAGATAAGTCACAGACTCCATAAATTTAATAATTCTCCCACTTAAAAACCGGGATATTGACTGCACCACCTACAGGCTGCATCATTTGTTGGTTGTACCGACATTAAAGTAAGAGGCTCTTGTCTTCACGCCAGAAGACTAATTAAAGTCGAACACAACTTCAATTTCTCAAATGTAACACTCTCAGTTAGCATATCAACGCCAACGTAGTTTTGTACATCCAAGCTCTTTCTTGGGTTACTCATAAATCTGCTTACAACTCCCATTGCATGGGCAATATTCTACCTCAGTTGAAAGTCTTTTTCAACAAGTCTAGACTTGTACCTCTTACTGCCATCAAGCGCAGTCTTCATCTGATACAACCACTTGTTGTACAATGTCTTCTTCCCTGGTGGAAGTTCTGACGACTCCTAAGTCTAATTTCCTGGCAGTAAATCCGTCTCATCCTCCTTGGTCAGCTCTCACTTACTCGAATTCTCATCTTGCAAGATTTATTTATAGCTCTGACTCGTGTGACAAGGCCTGCAATGCCGCAGATCTGTCATGCTCTCTGCAACTATAATAGCAACAGTGTAGCAACATTTTTGAGTAAACTTGTAGTAATATATAGTGTGTCAGTTATAGCAACAGTTTTGAGTAAACCTGTAGTAATATATAGTGTGTCAGTTTTTTTACCCCGAGTCAGTACTAATGCTCATTTAGTAACATTCTAGATGTTATATGAGAACACTACTGAATGATCACCCTCATTGAGCTGCCCAACAGAAATGAGGTTTTTCTTCAACTCAGAAACGTAACTGACCTTTTCGTAACTGACCTTTTATAAAGTTCATTTCCTATTGTTAGGGAGTGCAATATCAACGTCTCTTATCCCCATCACGTTCAGAGTTTTTCCATCAGTCAGATATACTTTCCCAAAGTCCCCTGCAACATAATTTCGCATCAACTCCCGGTGAGAAGATGTATGGAAGGAAGCCCCTGAATCCAATATTCAGTCATCAATAAAACTGTGAACAGTCAGCAATAGTGCATCATGTATTTCTTCTGTTACAACATTAGCACTATCATTCTCCTTCTTAGGATTCCTGCAGTTCATTTTTATGATGTCAGTCTTGCCACAATTCCAGCAGATTATCTGCTGACCAAACTTTGATTTTGATCTTCATTTGTTTGAGTTTTTATCCTGTGATCTCCATCCGGAATGAACAATTAGTGTCGAACTCGAACTTGAGATCTCGTCATAATCATTCATTTGTACCTCCTCAGTCAAAATCAAATCACAAATATCATCATATTTTAGTTTGGATTTACCTGCAGAATTGTTATTGTCATACTCATAAGTTTTCAACTATTTGACAATGAAACCAACAATATCAATGCACATATCTCATCATCAAAATAAATTTCAACATATGACAATTGATTTGTGATGGTGTTGAAATAATTCAGGTGTTGAGTAACAGACACACATTCCGTCATCTTCAAGTTGAATAACATTTTAATCAAGTGCACATTATTATTCGTTGATGATTTTTTATACATATCTGATAAAACCGTCATGAGATCTGCAGTCTACACATCTGATAAAGCCGTCATGAGATCTGCAGTAGTCATTTTTTTATGACGTTGTGGGCAACGGATATTGACAGGGTAAATAGAATAACCCCGAGAACCTGTAAATCCAACAGATTTCATTCCGTCTTGTCCATCTTTTTTGATCGTTTTCCTAGTAACGGAAGATAAAGTTTTTTCTCATAAAAGTAGTCTTTTATCTGCATCCCCCAGTAACCAAAATCTGTGTCATTGAACTTCTCTATCCCAGATGTCATCACTTTGTCTTCGCCCATCTTTTTCTTTCAGCCTCAAACCAAAGCTCTGATACCGATTGTTATGAAAAAACGACGGCAATAAAGTGAAAAAATCATATCGAAAAATTGCAAATCAGAAAATAATACACAGACTTACGTTGTTCGGCTAATTTGCTTACGTATGGAGCTGCAGAGAATTTTATTACTTTGAGAAATTACACCGTCGAATGCGGGTAAAAAAGTTAGTTCATGGAAGCGACACGCTGTATAGCCTGAATACAGTGAAAAGTGTGCAAGTGTCGCTACACCGGCGCCCGGCTGTAGTGTTAAATAAGCAAGGGTTCTCACATTACGGACGAATGCGGGTAAAAAAGTTAGTCCATGAAACTAATAAAACTAATATTAGGATAGGATCTTGGAATATAGGTACTCTCGATGGTAAATTAATGGAATTAGTTGATATTATGATTTATAGGAAAATTAATATCTTATGCATTCAAGAAATTAAGTGGGTTGGAGAAAAGGCTAAGAAAATTGATAATTTATGTTTTAAACTTTGGTATTCTGGTAAGAGTTGCACTAAAAATAGTGTAGGTGTAATTATAGATAAGAGTTTGAAAGATAATGTTGTAAAAATTAATAGAGTTGAGATAGAATTATAACCTTTAAGATTATCATTAATACTAAAATTTTTAATATTATAAGTGCTTATGCTCCTCAAGTAGGTTAATGAAGAAGGTAAAGTTATTTTAGATTTTGCTTTAGCGTTTGATTTTGTTATTACTAATACTTTATTCAAGAAAAGGGATGAACATCTTATTACTTATAAGAGTGGATCTAATAAAACACAAATTGATTATTTTCTTATGAGAAGAAGAGATTGTCGTGATTGTAAAGATTGTAAGGTCATTCCAAGTGAAGATTGAAGTACCCAACATCGTTTATTAATTCTAGATTTTAAGATTAAGAGTTGTAAAATAAATAATAATAGGACTCAGCATCGTAAAATTAGATGTAGAAACTTAAAAGACACAAATAAAATTATTTTTACGAGTAAAATTCAAGATTTTAAAATTTGAGATATTCATGAAGAAGCAAATGTTATGTGAGATAAAGTAACAAACATTATTAAACAAGTAACAAAAGATGTGCTTGGAGAATCAAATGAAAAAATTTTTATAAATAAAAATAGTTGGTAGTGGAATAATGATGTGCAAGAAAAGATAAAATATAAGAAGTTATGTTATAAAAATTGGTTTAAATGTAAAAGCTTAGAGAATTAGGAAAAATATCAAATGGCCCACAGAAAGTCTACAAGAACAATCTGTGACGATAAAAATTCTACTTTTAATGATCTTTATAATAGTTAGATACTAAGAAGAGTGAAAAATATATGTATAGACTAGTCAAACAAAGAGAAAAGAAAAGTAAAGATTTAACAAAGTAAAGTGTATTAAAAATGAAAATCAAAAAGTACTTTTCTTAGAAAAATATATTCAACATAGGTGGTTGAATTACTTTGATAAACTTTTTAATGAAGTTTCTGAAAATATGATCGAACTTAGTGATCTTAATATCGTGAATAATAATAAAACGTTTCATTTTTACCGTCACATTAGTAAAAAAAAGTTGAGGATGCTTTAAAGAAAACCACGGATGGAAAGTCTGTAGGACCTGATGATATCTCAATTGAAGTGTGGAAATATTTGGGAGATTTGGGAGTTTCTTGACTTACTAAACTCTTTAATATTATTTTAAAAACTAAAAAGATGCCTGAGGAGTGGAGGAAGAGTATTTTGATCCCCATTTTTAAGAATAAAGGGATGCACAAGAGTGTGCAAATTATAGAGGAATTAAGTTGATGTCGCATACTTTAAAATTATGGGAGAGGGTAATTGAACATAG